TACCGTGCGGAATATGACAGATTAACTTGGATCTCAGCTTCGAGGCGGGGCGGGAGGCCACGGGGCTGAGGGGCTCGGCCACCCCCGAAGGCTCATGGGAAAGCAGTCTGGAACCCCGCCGGGAAACCACGGGGCCAATGAACTGAGACAGGCAGGCGAGTGGGCGGCGCCAAGCCATGTAGCGCTTTGCATGCCGGGAGGGGGGCACTGCCGGAGCCGCCGAGGCATGCGGTCCGGACGAAGGCAGGGGGCCGCCCGCGCATGCGCGCGCACGTGGGAAGTGGGGGTGAAGAGCCCCGGTTGGAAGGTCCAGCTTGCTGCCGGCGTGCAGTCGTTCCTGCCCGGACGGCTCCGGACGTCCCACGGGGAGGAGAGGGCCCAGATGGAGGCCCGGGCGCGGGAGGGCCGGGCTGGCCCGCAGTGGCCTCGCCGCCCCCCCCCCCCACGCCCAGCTCACGGCTGCGTGCCCGGTGACCACGCACCGGCCTGGGGAACTGCAAGTCTGTGAGTCCCCCTCTACACTTCAGGCCGGCCGGCCGTCTGTCCGTTCGTCCGTCCGTTCGTGGTTCTCTGGGGGAAGCTCAGCCTTCAACTAGAGCTCCTTTTCTCTTCTCAGGGTGGACTGGGCTCTGAACGCGGGCCTCCGCCGGCTGGCCAGGCGCGCCTGTGGCCCACACCCGGCCCTCTTCCTTTTCGCTTGGACAGACGGAGAGTTTCCTGTGACTCAGGCAGAAAACTAGGCCGTGAGCTTTCTAAAGGGAGCAAGACAGATAGGCTGTCCGTGCTGGGACCACTACTTGAAGGCTAAAGGCGCACAGCAGTAAAGGACATGTTGGTGGGGAATTTAATCCAAATGGGAGTATCAGGAAGTAGTCTCTGAAAGGAGAATAGATTCAGAGCAATGGGGGCCGGTGGACGCAGCTCGCTCAAGGGAAGTGGAGGACAAGCAGGAGGGAACAGGGGCTGGGAAGGCGGCGGGAAGCCCTGGGTTCGATTCCTCAGCACCACATACACAGGAAAAAACAGAAGTGGCGCCGCGGCTCAAGGGTAGAGCGCTAGCCTGGCACAGAGGGGCTCAGGGACAGCTAGCTGCAGGCCCTGAGTTCAAGCCCCAGTTCTGGCAAAAAATAAAATAACCAAAGAGGAAGGACATTGGTAAGAAGGGGCAGCAATGATGAAAAGGGGCTATCTATGTGCCAGTCCCTGCCTGTGTCCAGACAGCGCCTTCTGAGCTGGGTCTCCATCAACGAACCAGCACTGAAGGGAGTTCCAGGTGTTCCTCCCAGGTGGAGGCCGGGATGAGGAGGCTGGGGAGGGAGGCAGAGGGCAGGGATCTTAATGGCACACAGTTGGTCTGGGTCTTGTTGCTTTTTGCCTGCGGTGGTCTGGGGGTGAGGTGCTGCGCCCGAGCCAGGGACCCTCACAGTGGAGCGCACACCCCACCAGAGGGCTCCGCGTCCGGTTCCGTGTCCTCCACAAGTCCCGACTCTAGAAAATGGCCCTCTACATTCCGGAACGCCAGGTTCCTCCGACGTGCTCCCCGCAAATCACGACTCCAGGTCCCACGTGCAGATCCTCGGCGGCTGCTCCCTGCCTCTGCCGCGTCCCCCCCCTGTGGTGTCCCCCCCCTGTGCGGTGTCCCCCCCTGCGGTGTCCCCCCCGTGCGGTGACCCCCCCTGCGGTGTCCCCCCCGCGGTGTCCCGCCCCGCGGTGTCCCCCCCCGCGGTGTCCCCCCCCCCCCCGCGTGCGGTGTCCCCCCCCGCGGTGTCCCCCCCCCGTGCGGTGTCCCCCCCCGCGGTGTCCCCCCCGCGGTGTCCCCCACCCTGCCGTGTGCCGTCCATGCACCCGGCCCCTGGGAGCCCACAGGTGCGTCCCCGAGAGGAAGCCCTCGGCCCCTGGCCTGTGCGAGCTGAGCACTGAGCACTGAGCACTGAGCGAGGGCCAGCACGCGCCCTCCCAGCCCCGGACCAGAGCGGCCTCGGCCAAGCCGCCGTGCTTCCCCAGGAGCTGGAGCAAGTCCCAACAATGTCTCAAAAACGACAAAGCCCGCCCCTCTCTGAAAAAAATAAAAACAATCTCAAGAATTTGCTCTCTGGGATCTGCAAAGAGCCGCGTGGGTGCCTCCTCCCCTCCTCCCTCCTCCCCAAAGAGCCGCGTGGGTGCCTCCTCCCTCCTCCCCAAAGAGCCGCGTGGGTGCCTCCTCCCTCCTCCCCAAAGAGCCGCGTGGGTGCCTCCTCCCTCCTCCCCAAAGAGCCGCGTGGGTGTCTCCTCCCTCCTCCCCAAAGAGCCGCGTGGGTGCCTCCTCCCCTCCTCCCTCCTCCCCAAAGAGCCGCGTGGGTGCCTCCTCCCCTCCTCCCCAGCCACCAAAGAGCCGCGTGGGTGCCTCCTCCCCTCCTCCCCAGCCACCAAAGAGCCGCGTGGGTGCCTCCTCCCCTCCTCCCTCCTCCCTCCTCCCCAAAGAGCCGCGTGGGTGCCTCCTCCCTCCTCCCTCCTCCCCAAAGAGCCGCATGGGTGCCTCCTCCCCTCCTCCCTCCTCCCCAAAGAGCCGCGTGGGTGCCTCCTCCCCTCCTCCCTCCTCCCTCCTCCCCAAAGAGCCGCGTGGGTGCCTCCTCCCTCCTCCCTCCTCCCCAAAGAGCCGCATGGGTGCCTCCTCCCCTCCTCCCTCCTCCCCAAAGAGCCGCGTGGGTGCCTCCTCCCCTCCTCCCCGAAGAGCCGCGTGGGTGCCTCCTCCCCTCCTCCCCAGCCACCAAAGAGCCGCGTGGGTGCCTCCTCCCCTCCTCCCCGCTCCCCAGCAGCCCAAAGAGCCGCGAGGGTGCCTCCCCTCCCGCGGCCTCGTGGTAAGGAGAGGCCACGGGTGCCCCATGGTGGCGGGCAGGCCCGGCCTGGCAGCCTGGATGGCCACTGGCCAAATCCACTTTTTTTTTTTTTTTGTCGGTCCTGGGACTTGAACTCTGGACCTGGGCGCCATCCCTCAGCTCTTCAGCTCAAGGCGAGCGCTCTACCACTTGAGCTACAGCACCACTTCCCGTTGTTTTTTAAAAAGTAGGAGCCAAAGACTAACATGAGTTTCACCCAGGCATATGGCAGGCAAAGGAGCTGCTTTTCCTGACAGCCCTGAAAAGCTTTAAGAAAACGTCGAAGACTGGATTCTTGTCACAGAAGAGACCTGTTCCTGCCCTGACTTGCTTATACCTTCCTGGGGCCACCACTGGGCCCACACTCCCCCTCCCTCCCTGACTCCCACGTGTGCCTTCCAGAAACAAGCAGTCAATTAACCCTGTCTCCACCAACAGGCACAAGCTGTCCGGAGCCACGTGCTGCTGCTGCTGTGCACAACAGAGTCCCAGGGAATGAGCAAATGCCATGATGCTCGTTTAGCAAGCTACCAGGCTGTGTAACAGGGGGAGGAAAGTGAGACTCAGAGGTGGCTGCTCAGTGACCTTCACATAGCTCTGCAGTGCTGGAAGGAAAGGCAGAGCAGTTCCACCCTAAAACTACTATGCTGGGATACAGTTGGAGCCTATGAAGTCAGTATGTAACACACCACCTATAAATCTACTTAATTTTCTAAACTCATTATGTGACTATAAGTTAAATCTATGAAATAGTATGCGAATTCCTAAAGAGGCAAGTTGTTTAAATAAAATACATCCAGGCAATGAGTATACTTAGGGCTAGTCTTAAGGCTTCAACTTAGTGCAATCACCTGTATTTTTCACACATGCAATTGAAATCACTGCTTCATTTTACTGGAAAAATGTTGTCATCCTCTCCCTGGTGCCAGCCAGTCTTGAGCAGAGTATTCAGTGTGCCAGGGACACAAACATAACAAAATCCTACACTTTGTTTGGGAGGTAAACTCACCATTCTGGAAACATTGTCAGTGTGTCTAGTGAAATTACAAGCACTTAATATAACTAAATATCTGCAATCCTGAATACAAGTGCAACAGAAGACATAAACAAGAATTTCATAGCTGCTGTGTTCATAGTAGCCTAAAATTGGAAATAAGCCACAAGGATAAACTGATATAGAAATGTTCTGGTATATTAAACAATTTAAAAGGATTATTTCTCTTTTTCTTCATTCCTCTTCTTTTCTCCCCTCCTCTCTTCTGCTTTTGCTGGAGAAAACCCAAAAGGTTGCCAAGTTAAGTTCTAAGGCCATCAAGGATAAAAAAGAGCTACCCACCTAGGAGAGCTATTTGACAATAAAACACGAAAACTATAGATATACATTTTTTTCAATAGAAAACGAGGTTTTTGTTTTGTAGTATTCGAGGTAAGAGTCTCCTGGACTTTCCTGATCCTCAGACCCCAGCTCCCGGAGTGGCTGGGATTACAGCCGTGAGCCTCGGCACCGGCTGAGAAAAAGCTGTACAATCACGCTGTATGGCAAAGATTGCTTTTTAACCTTTCAGATGTAAGTGTTGAAGGGGGGAAAAAGCCACAGAGTAAAAGAAAATGTATTCACAAGTAGTCACACAGGCATCTGCCTTCCAAAACAGATCAGGCTGCTTAATTCAGAATAACCTATTTCTTCGGAAACGTTTGAGTCACCGACTTTGAAAACTGTCCATGTGAGGTCGCAGCATCTGAGACTAGGCCTTTAGCCCGTGCAGATTAATGTTAACAAAGCACTGACAGGCAATGCTTCACCCTTCACCGCCTGTTGGCAGAACAGCTAAACCCGGGGTCCAGGAAAGCAGAGACGGCAGCCCGCCCTCCCAGCCCAGGAGACGGGGGTGGGGCGGGCCCGAGCGGAGCGCGGCCCCACCCACACCAGCCCCGCCCCCGCGTGGCCCCGCCCCTGCGTGCTCCGCCCTCTCAACGTAGTCCCGCCCCTGCGTGCTCCGCCCCCCACGCCGCAGCCCCGCCCCTGCGTGCTCCGCCCCCACGCCGCAGCCCCGCCCCTGCGTGCTCCGCCCCCACGCCGCAGCCCCGCCCCTGCGTGCTCCGCCCCCACGCCGCAGCCCCGCCCTCGCATCGCCGTCGGGTTCCAGAGCGTCGCGCGGCTCCGACGGCTAACGCGTCGCTATGGAAACGGCTCTCCCGATCCGTACCTCCACGAGCTCGATGGCAGCTGGGGAGCCGGCGCATTCAGGTGGCTTCTACTTCAGGTTCTTGCCTCAGAGACTCTTCCCGTCTCTGAGCGCCCCGGAGACCACCAGCCGGCTGCGCCAGTGGTGAGGGGCCGCGAGGCCAGCGGAGCCCCGCGGCGGCCGTGGCGGGACGGGGCGGGCTCGGGTTCGGGGCGCCCGCTGCGAGCTGACCCCCGCCTCTGTGCCCCAGGTCCATGCTGGGCAGACTCAAGGCGCAGGCGTTCGGGTTCGACCAGACCTTCCAGGCCCACCGGAAGGACGACTTCGTTCTGGTTGGTATGGGGTCGGCCCTGGTGACGGGAACGCGCGCGCGCCATCCTCGCTGACGGGAGCGTGCGCGCGCCTTCCTCGCTGACGGGAGCGTGCGCGCGCCTTCCTCGCTGGCGGAACGCGCGCGCGCCATCCTCGCTGACGCGCGCACGCCGGCCCTCGCTGGCGGAGAGGCGCGTGCACGCACCGCCCTGGCCGACGTACGTGCGCGCGCTGGAGTGGTCGTCTTAGGGTCTTTTGGATGGACGTGATCGTTTCCCATCATCAGGAATCTGGCTTTCGGTCTGGTTATTTTTCTCTCTTCAGTAGCCTGTCTAGAACTTTCTGGTTCTGAATTTTCTTTCTTAAGTTAACACATCTTTTCTGATGCGGCCACCTAGCTTCCTCACTTAGTCATAAACTGCTCCGAGTTGTCTGCCAAGCCCAGATCCATCTGAGGACTGGACGTCAGGTTCCCAGTAGCAATTTCACATGAAGAATTCCCGCCAAAACTTTTCAGCGACGGCACAGCTCGGACGGGAGAAAAAGCCGCTCGCGAGCATCACCTTCGGTGTGCCATTACATGTAGTCCTGTAACCAGGCGCTGGTGGCTCACGCCTGTGGTTCAGAGCCAGCGAGGCTGACTACCCTGAGAGATTCCTATTTCCCAGGTAACCAGCAAAAGCCAGAAATGGAGATGTGGCTCAACAGCTTTTGGCTCTTGAAGTTAGAACCCGAGACCCTGAGTTCAAGCCCCAGTAACAGCATATCACAGATAGAAACACACTGTTAGGTTTTTAAAAAGAGGTAGCCTAGTAAGAACAGCTCCACGCACATGGTATTCAGGTAAGGGGTAGATTTATTTAGTAGACCTGCTGGGACCAGGCAAGGTTGGCACTCTACGCGGCTGGCAAAAGGCCTGGGTAAGAGAGAGAGAGAGCTGGGAAAAAGAGCTAAGAGAGCTAGAAAAGAGCTAGAAAAGAGAAGAGAGAGGTAGGAGAGAGCTGGGAAAGAGCTAAGAGAGCTAGAAAAGAGAGGTGGGAAAGAGAGAGCTGGGAAAGAGAGAGAGCTGGGAAAGAGCTAAGAGAGATAGAAAAGAGAAGAGAGAGGTGGGAGAGAGCTGGGAAAGAGGTGGGAAAGAGCAGGGATAGAGAGAGAGCTAGGAAAAAGAGCTGAGAGAGCTGGGAAAGAGCTGAGAAGGAAAGGGCTGACAGAAAGAGCATCTGGGCCTGGGCTAGGCCTTATCTAGGGTATGGGCGGAGAAAGGTGTGGCCACATCAAATGCAGATGTGACCTCAGCGGATGCAGATGTGACTTCTTCCAGGTGTGTCAGTTGCCTAGGTAACGCAGGTACTGGGTGGAGACTTTGCTGCGAGGAGGGTGGAGTCCACACACACACACACACACACACACACAGAGGAGGAAATGATCGTGGCTGGGAAGGTGGCTTAGTGGTGGAGTGCTTGTCTGGCATGCATGAAGCCCTGAGTTCAGTTCCTCAGTACCACATAAAAAGCTGGAAGTGGCGCTGTGACTCAAGTGGTAGAGTGCTAGCTCAGGGATAGGGCTGAGCCCTGAATTCAAGCCTCAGGACTGGCAAAAACAAAAAACAAACACACGATCATGTGAACACACTGCTAGAATCATGAATTTTTTTGCAAATGAGGTTCAGTTTCTAAATGTTCATTAACTTAATTATTTAGAGATCTTTCATGAGGGTCTCTGTCCATAAACATACGATTCACCTTGAGTGGAAAAGCAGTCTCTTAAGTTCAAGTACCAACACACACACACACACACACACACACACACGTAGCCTAGGCTCGATATCTGACTTCAAATACTCTTATTTTTAAAAACTGCTTACTTGCTCCACATCCATGGCTCAAACCTATATTCCTAGCTACTCAGGAGGCTTGAGACCTGAAGATCACTTTTGGAAGCCAGCCAGAGTAGAAAAGTGTGAGGCTCAAGTGGTAGAGTACCAGCCTTTAGCTAAAAAAGCTACGGGACAAGCCTGGGAAGGTAGCTCAGTGGTAGAGTGCTTGCCTTGCATGCATGAGGCCCTGGGTTCCATTCCTCAGCACCACATAAGCAAAAAGAAAAAAAGCCAGAAGTGGCACTGTGGCTCAAGTGGTAGAGCGCTAGCCTTGAGCTGAAGAGCTGAGGGACAGCGCCCAGGCCCAGAGTTCAGGCCCCATGACTGGACCAAAAAAAAAAAAAAAAAAGCTATGGAACAACCTTGAGTTCAAGCTCCAGTGCCATCAGCAAATACATACCAAAAGATTACCTTTTTGGGGGAAAGGGAAAGGGTGGGGCTTGAACTCCGGGCTTGGATGCTGTCCCTGAGATTTTTCTGAATTTTTTTAATTGTATTAAGTTTTAAACATATTTTACTTGGACAACAATGTGGATCATACTATAAATCCTAACAAATATAATAACATTTGACTTTTTTTTTTGGGGGGGGGTCCGGTCGTGGGGCCTGAACTCTGGGTCTGGGCACTGTCCCTCAGCTCTTCAGTTCAAGGCTAGCGCTCTACCACTTGAGCCACAGCGCCACTTCCGGCTTTTTTCATTTTACTTATGGTGCTGAGGAATCGAACCCAGGGCCTCAGGCATGCAAGGCAAGTGCTCTACCACTGAGCCATCTTCCTAGCCCCTAAAATTTGACTCTTTTATAAAACATTTATATTTTGCCAATTTAAAGTTGCCTTCCTAATTTATATTATGTGAGATTTTACTAAATCTATTTTGCAAATTGATTTTTTATCATGATAAAGTATTTGACATATTCTTTTTCCATTTTTATTTTAGGCTTTTTTCAAAGACCCAAATGTTATTCCAAATCTGCAGTTACTTTCAGATTCTTCTGGACAATGGATTACACTAGGTAAATGAAATTTTTAACTTTTCAAGTGACTAGCTATTATGACAAAATTTTGCCTCAGGAATTCTTATTAAATACAAATTGTAAAGAGGGACTTTTCTGGACTGGGAATGTGGCTAAGTGGTAGAGTGCTTTTCTAGAATGCATGAAGCCCTGGGTTCAGTTCCTCAGTACCACGTGCACAGAAAAGCCAGAAGTGGCGCTATGGCTCAGTAGTAGAGTGCTACCCTTAAGCAAAAGAAGCTCAGGGACAGTACCCAAGGCCCTGAGTTCAGGCTCCAGGACTGGCAAAAAAAACAAAAACAAAAAAGAATGACTCATCTGTTTGATAAGAAGAGGAGCAAGTTTAACCAGCTGCGGCAGGTTTGCCTGCATCGCTATCCTGGGAGTCAACTGCTACAGTCCTGGCTTAACACAGAGAACCAGTTTTTTCCTTTTTCTTTATTTTGGAAAGTTTTGTGCATCTTCCATTTCCTCTCTTAGATGCAGGGAGCACTGAAAATGTAAGAGAAAACTTGTACTCAAAGAACTACTTGGTACATTCAAATATACAAGGGTGTGTATTGGATAATGTACAAGTCTAATGTACATAGAAGCATGTGGACCACAAAGATTCTCCTAATATGGGGATGTTTAGACAGATGGGGCGTTGGTTTCTGACTGAGGAGTGGGCTACCATGGAACATTATTTTTAATAATGCTATATTAAATCATAGAAGAGTGTCTTACAGACTCTGGAGAACATTATATAGTTAACCCTTTCATAATACACTGAAACACAACTAGAACTTTTATTCCCAACATTTAAACATTTAACCAAGAGGAGAGCACTGTTTTTTAAAAAAAATTTTGCCTGAGGCCAGGCTCAGTCCCAGGTCCTCCAGCCTCTGCCTTCTCCAGAGCTGGGATTATAGGCATGTGCCACACCCACCTTGTTCTTTGAGATAGCATCTTGAGAACTTGGGGATGGAGGCTATCCTCAAACCAGGATTCTGTCTCTGCCTCCTGAGTAGCTGGAATTACAGGCATGAGTCATCATGTTTGGCCAAACACTCGTAAGACTGGAGTCTCAATATTATAAAAACATCATTCCATTTAGAAAGAGAATACTAAGGAAATAGCAACTGATTTTTTTTGTTGGTTGTGGGGCCTGAACTCTGGACCTGGGCGCTGTCCCTCAGCTCTTCAGCTCAAGACTAGCGCCCTACCATTTGAACCACAGCACCACTTTGGGCTTTTTCTGTTTATGTTGTGCTGAGGAATAGAACCCAGGGCCTCATGCATGCAAGGCAAGCACTCTACCACTGAACCACCTTCCCAGCCCCAGCAACTGCTTTTGTTAGCTTTTTTTCTAATGGTAAGGGAATGCTTTGGGTAAATTGTCAAGTTACAAAACTATCTTCTTGGGCTGGGCTGGGAAGGTGGCTCAGTGGTAGAGCGCTTGCCTTGCATGCATGAGGCCCTGGGTTTGATTCCCCAGCACCACATAAGCAAAAAGAAAAAAAGCCGGAAGTGGCGCTGTGGCTCAAGTGGTAGAGTGGTAGCCTTGAGCTGAAAAGCTGAGGGACAGTGCCCATGCCCAGAGTTCAGACCCCACAACCAGACCCCCCAAAAAAAACAAAAACAAAAACAAACTTCTCTTTAAGTAAGAACAAGATTACAAGCAGTTCATGATGTTAGACTTAACAGGCCATATTTTATTGCTTTTGGTTAAATACTACTGCAAAATTTATAGAGCAAAAATCCAGTACAGCATGATCACTTACAGAATTAAACTGAGTGTCTGAGCACAGAATATTTTCCAATGCAAAACTTCCAAAGCAGAATAATCAGAGCCATATATCACTGAATTTGGAAAGCATGTTTATGTTAACTGGAGGCAATGCATTTGAAATGTGATCAACTTTCCTCTATAGTGGCACATACTTTATAAAATATCACTGAACTTTGTCTGATTTTTGAATAAGTCATTGTCTCCCCCCCCCAAAAAAAAAAACGCTTCTAAAATTCCCATGTGCCTGACAGGATCAGTTAAAAGTGCTCTGAAAAGTAGGTCAGAACAGCACTGAGTCTCAGAAGCAGGAGCTCCAGTAGAGGGCTGGGAAGGTGGCTCAGTGGTAGAGTGCTTGCCTTGCATGCATGAAGTCCTGGGTTCCATTCCTCAGCACCATATACACAGAAAAAGCCAAAAGTGGTACTCTGGCTCAAGTGGCAGAACGCTAGCCTTGAGCACAGAGAGGCTCAAGGACAGTGCCTAGGCCCTGAGTTCAAGCTCCAGGACTGGCAAAAAAAAAAAAAAAAGAAGTTCCAGTAGATTGCTAGCACTCTTCTAGTAGCTTGCTTACATCTCCTCTTTTTCCTGTTCTTCTAAGCCCTCCTGCTACTCTCCGAGCGGGGCATGGTAGCTAAGGAGGTGGACACGAGAAAATCTCAAGTTGGGTTGGGCTACATTGTGAGGCCTCATTTCAATAAAGCAAAAAAGAAAAGGAAGCAAGCATGTTGTCTCTCATGCTGTGGCTAGGGACCAGTTTTCTAAAGTGGTCAGACTGCACAGCTCTATTCGTATGTCTTTCAACTGAGCTCAGAACTATGCTGCTATGGTCTTTTCACTTTATCTGATCCCCAAGAGTATTCACCTCTGAAACAAGAAGAGCTTCTCTTAGCAACATAGCTCTTGAAGTTACTGAGGCATACACAGTCCCTGCCTTCAGGCGTCCTTGTCTCTATCTTAGCCCAGTTAAGGATCAAACAACAGGTTCTAGCATGACCTTAGCTGGACAGTCAAACTAAGTGGTGCCAACAATGGCCATCATATGGAATTTTGTTTGATTTGTTGATACTAGCTTCAAACCTGCCACCCCCCTGCCTCAGCCTCCTAGTGCTGCAGGTAGATGCATGCCAGCTTGCCAGTATCGCTTACTTGTAACACAGCTGCTTTGCAGATGGAAGGTACATCAGATTTACACAGGAGGGGCAATAAAGAGGTTCCACACCTTGTTCTACTCTGAACAGAATACCATCTCTTTGTACCTGTGTGAGTGCGTGAGTGTGTGTGTGTGTGTGTGTGTGTGTGTGTGTGTGTGTGTGTAAAAGAGAGGGAGTAGGGCTGGGAATGTGGCTTAGTTGGTAGAGTGCATGCCTAGCATGCATGAAGCCCTGGCTTCCACTCCTCAGTACCACATCAACAGAAGAAGCCAGAAGTGGTGCTCTGGCTCAAGTGGTAGAGTGCTTGGCTTGAGCAAAAGCATCTCAGGGACAGTGCCCAAGCCCTGAGTACAAGCCCCAGGGCTGGAAAAAAAGAAAAGTAGATAAAATGCCATTAATATTCCAAATTTCTATAATTCTGCACTTATAAAACTTGACTAGGGCCTGGTTTGAAATTTACCTTGACTTGGGAAGTTTTTGTTTTTGTTTTTTGCCAGTCCTGGGGCTTGAACTCAGGGCCTAGGCACTGTCCCTAAGCTTCTTTTGCTCAAGACCAGCACTGTACCATTTGAGCAACAGAGCCACTTCTGGTGTTTTTTGCTTATGTGGTACTGAGGAATCAAAACCAGGGCTTCATGCATGCTAGGCAAGCACTATACCACCAAGCCACATTCCCAACCTGAAATCCTTTTTTGTAATAAACACTGTATATGAGATTACAGAGGTGTTGTTGTTTTTCTATTATTGTTTTGATTTTTAGTGAAAATCATATATTTTTAAGATACCCTCCAAAACTTAGTAATCTCCTATATTTTTTTGCAATATGAATTCTAAAACATTAAGCATAAAACAAATCATAAAGAGGTCTTATTTGCAATTCTGATAAATGCATTAAACCCAGTAAGAATTCCTTATTACACATAAAACATGTATTTCACTTTCAGATATTCCCTAATTTATAATTGTCTAGTCCAGAAATGGTAAGGTTTAATTATAAATGTTTCATGATTAGTGAAGTGTGAATAGGCCACAAAATAGGAATTTAATAAAAATCAGTGTCTTTAGTTACAGCTATACATTGTGTCACAGTGGAATATGGTTTAAGAAATGTTTCATTAGGTGATGTTGCCACTGTGCAAACATCTTAGTGTTTACTTGAGCCCAAACATGAGACATAGATACTATAGCCTAGCACAACAAGTTTTACAGGAATCTTGCTTCTAAGTAAAAGCATTCATGCTAAAATAACTATAGAAAGTACAGTAGACACGTGAACCAGGGCATAGTCATTTATGCTCAGTACTGTGTACTGTATATAACTGTATGAACTATACTTGTTTATGGCTCGCAGTGCATAGGTTGTTTACACCGACATCACAGACAGGAGAAAAGTATGAGCTATGATGATATCATAGCTCCATCACTTAGGCAATAGGAATTTTTCCGCTCTGTTATCATCTTTGGGACTGCCATGGTACACACAGCCATCAGTGACTAAAACACAAAGCACATGACTACCAAAATAGGCACTGGGCCACATTCAGTTGCTTCTTGGGATTCAGCACAGTGATTTATTCAGAACTAATTGAGAATGTTGACTTTATCTCCATTCTTTACAAAATATTTAGGAACTGAAGTGCAAAAAATTGAAGCTACAAACGTTCCCTGCACACAGCTTTCAATGTCATTCTTTAATCGGTTATATGAAGAAGATATTGTACGAGACAGTGGACATATTGTGAAATGTTTAGATTCTTTTTGTGATCCATTTATGGTTTCTGATGAATTGCGAAAAGTAAGTACAGAGTGTTAAAGTCTTACAGTGAAATTTTATTTATTTTATTATTGTCAAAACTTTTGTCTGCCTAAAACCCATGAAATACTTTTTTTTTTTTTTGTCATTTGTGGGGCTTGAACTCAGGGCCTGGCGGCTGTCCCTGAACTCTTTTGTTCAAGCTACAGTGCCACTTCTGGCTTTCTAGTGGTTACTTGGAGATGAGTCTCATGGGGCTTTCCTAACTACATTAAACTGTGTTTTGGTGAAGAGTATGACTTCAAGGCTATGCATGAAGATTGGATCCATTCTTGTATGGAGCATTAGTACACAGCCATAAAACAGGGGGAAATATGTGTATATCATGTTACTCTGCAGTTGCTTACGGATTTGTTCTTAAAAGACATTCAAGCTGGGTGCTGGGGGCCCATGTCTGTAATATTAGCTAGTCAGGAGGCTGAGATCTGATGATCTTGGTTTAAAGCCAGCCTTGGCAGCCAAGTCTGTGAGACTCTTATTTCCAGTTAACTACCGGTAAACCAGAAATGGCACTGTGGCTCACAGTGGTAGAGTGCTAGCCTTGAGCAAAAGAGCTCAGGGACCCTGAGTTCAAACCCCATGACCAAAAAAAAATCCAAGATTGGACTGGAATGTGCTTAGTTAATAAGCACTTGTCTCACTTGAGCAAGGCTCAGGGTTTGATTCCCAGTGTTTCTTTGTTTTATAAATAAAATCTAAATTTATTTTTAAATATGTAAGTTGAAAATTTAAACTTAAAAATTAGAACATTGTGGGGCTGGGAAGGTAGCTCAATGGTAGAGTGCTTGCCTTGCATGCATGAGGCCCTGGGTTCGATTCCTGTGCACCACATAAGCAGAAAAAGCTAGAAATGGTGCTGTGGCTCAAGTGGTAGAGCACTAGCCTTGAGCTGAACAGCTCAGGGACAGTGCCCAGGCCCAGAGTTCAGGCCCCATAACCACCACCAACAACAACAACAAAATTAGAACCTTGGATAATATTACATTAAGAAGAATTTTGTCATCCTAGGTATTGCTAATGGAAGACTCAGAAAAATATGAAGTATTCAGCCAGCCAGATAGAGATGAGTTCCTATTTTGTCTTTTTAAACATCTTTGCCTTGGTGGATCCCTTTGTCAGTATGAAGATACACTCAAGCCATACCTGGAAACAGCAAAGCTTCTCTATAAGGATCTGGTGAGGTAATGTTGCTATATAACAATATGCAAGTCTTTGGCTAATAGAGCCAATTCTTTGTTCAGCCGTGTAGAGTTTCCCAGCATCTCTTTGTGGTCTTAAATACCACAACCACAATGTGTAAAAGCACAATGATTTCGATTTCCTCTTGTAACCTCCTATACCACAACTACAGTGTGTAAAAGTACAACTACCACAATCTCCTCTTCTAACCTCCTACACCATGACCACAGTGTGTAAAAGTACAACTATCACAATCTCCTCTTGTAGCTTCCTACCCTATGACCACAGTGTGTAAAAGTACAACCACGATCTCTTCTTGTAACCTCCTACACCACAACCTCAGTGTGTAAAAACACAACTCCCATGATCTCTTGCAGCCTCCTATACCACAGTTTGTAAAACACAACCGCCAGGACCCTCTCTTGTACTCTTCTACAACACAGTATTTAAAAATGCAAGTCCCATGCATCCGCTCTTGTAGCTCCATGCTCCTCTTCTAGGCTAGAGATTTCTACATTTCCATAACTCTCTTTTAGTTCTCATTCCTCTCATTTCTCATCCATCTCTTGTTTCCTAATTCAGACTTGTCACCCATGCTTCTGTTATAAGCAACTGCTGTCTTCTGGACCTTCCTTTCTACCTGCTTTCTTCTCAGTCTCACAAGAGGGGTGGAGGAGAGCCTCAGTCAGGATGTTGGAGTTTGCTTAGCTAATTGTAAAAAATTATTAGCTTTGTTCCAAAGAAGTGTAAGAATTTCCATCTGGTGTAATAGTGAGTTTTTCAATTAATCCGAGCCAGGCATTGGTAGCCCCCACTGGTAATCCTAGCTACTCAGGAAGCTGAGATCTGAGGATTACAGTTCCAAGTCAGCTTAGGCAGGACAGTTCTTAAGACTCTTATCTCCAATTAACTACCAAAAAGAAGCAGAGCTGTGTCTCAAGTGGTGGAATGCTAGCTTTGAGCAAAAAAAGTCAAGAAGCCAGGCGCCGGTGTCTCATGCCTGTAATCCTAGCTACTCACGAGGCTGAGATCTGAGGATCGAGATTCAAAGCCAGCCAGGGCAGGAAAGTCCATGAGACTCTTATCTCCCATAAACCACTAGAAAACTGGAAGTGGTGCTGTGGCTTAAGCGGTAGAGCGCTCGCCTTGAGCTGAAGAGCACAGGGACAGCGCCCAAGCCCAGAGTTCAAGCCCCACGACCGCCAAAAAAAAAAGCCAAGAGACAGCACCCAGGCCCTGAGTTCAAGCTCCAGGACCAGCACTAAATAAATAAGTAAATAAATAAATAAGCCTAGTGTCTTCCTTTCTTCTTTGTCCCTCCTTCCTTTCCTTTTGAATGAAATTTCTTTTTTTGAACATTTTATTTTTTGGTTTCTCACTGTGAGTTTTTCTTCATTGTTACTGTAAAGGTGATGCGCAGAGGAGTTACAGGTGCATAAGGCAGGCAATGAGCACATCTCTTTGGACAATGCCCCCTTCCCTCACTATGTCTCAGTTGTTCCCTCCTGGCCCCACCCACAAGTTGTATAGTTCTTTTGTCGGACATGGTACTTGAACTCTGGGCTTGGGTGCTGTCCCCTGTGCTCTTCATCCATTCAAGATGAGCGCTTTACCACTTGAGCCACCATGCCACTTCCAGTTTTCTAGTGGCTTTTATTGTAGATAAGAGTCTAACGGATTTTCCTGCCCAGGCTGGCTTTGAACCGTGATCCGCAGATCTCAGCCTCCTGAGTAGCTAGGATTACAGCCCTGAGCCACCTGTGCCCAGCTATAGTTCATTTTTAACACAGTGTACATTGAGGACTGCTCCTGCATTTGTTCACCTTTTCTCTCTCCATTTCTGCGTCCACCCAAAGACAGATAAACAAAATGAAAAGAAAGCAACAAAAATTCCTTATTTACATTTCCTGGAGTTTATTTCCATATATACTGTTGAAGTATATAGGCATTGCACCTTTGTGTTTCTCCCCTAAGAGTATCCTCCATTGGTCTCACTGTGTGTGCAAATGCTTAAGAGTGCTGTATTATTTATCATGCCCCAGTGTATTTTAGATCTAGCTTCCACTTATGTCAAATTTCTTATTTATACTTTTTTTTTTTTTTGTCAGTCATGGGCTTAAACTCCAGGCCTGGGTGCTGTCTCAGAGCTCTTCAGCTCAAGGCAAGAGCTCTACCACTTGAGCCACAGCACCATTTCAAGTTTTCTGGTGCTTAATTGGAGATAAGAGACTCATGGACTTTCCTACCAGGGCTGGCTTCAACCGAGATCCTCAGCTCTCAGCCTCCTGAATAGCTAGGATTATAGGCCTGAGCCACTGGCACCCGGCTTATTTATACTTTTAACTAAAGTAAATATATTTTCAATTAAGAAAACATTGGTGGGGGGGCTGGGAAGGTGGCTCAGTGGTAGAGTGTTTGCCTTGCATGCATGAGGCCCTGGGTTTGGTTCCTCAGCACCACATAAGCAGAAAAAGCCGGAAGTTGGCGCTGTGGCTCAAGTGGTAGAGCACTGGCCTTGAGCTGAAGAGCTGAGGGACAGCGCCCAGGCCCAGAGTTCAGGCCCCAGGAATGACAAAAAAAAAAAAAAAGAAAACATTGGTGGGGGAGGGAAGTGGGACAACAAGGGAAGGTGACAGTGATGGACAACTAATGCACTCATTGCCTTGCTCACGCAACTGCCACCCTCTGTACAGCGTCTTTATAATAAAAGAAATGGCCAAGAAAAAAAGAAACACTGGGTCATCTTTATAGGTAAGGAAGACAGAACCTCAGAAAGCAAAAGTTCCAGAAGTCAATTATATAATTTCACACCACTTGGAAAGCAAATTTAGCTTCTCAGATTCTTACTTATTTCACTTATACACAATACCTTAATTTTATATCCATTCGTTACATGCATAAAAATTTCATGACAACTATTTTACTTATTTAGTTTCTGGTGTGGTTTTCAAAACAACTGTATGCCTAAAATCTCTCTTTTTTTTTTTTTTTTTGTCACCAGTAGTGGGGCTTGAACTCAGGGCCTGGGTGCTGTCACTGAGCTTTTTTTCCTCAAGTTTAACACACTGCCACTTTGAGCCACAGCTCTACTTCCTATAATCGCTGCTTTTAATGAAAAAGAAATACTGTGTTGGTGTGTAAAGATGGTTGAAGAGCTAGGCCTATGTCTCTCCTAACCATTGGAAGCTCATGTAGAACTCCCAGGCAGCTCTGGCACTCTTAAGGATTCTCTTCAGTGTTGCTCTCAGCGCAGGCACACGCGTGTCCCACTGCCACAGTCAGTGCACCACCTCTCCACGAGGAACTGCTTACTGCCATGCACTGTGGAGAAGAGATTCTAGCTCACACTTCAAAACAAATGGCTTCAGAGCACAAACTGCCGAAGCTGCAGCTTTCCTCAACCTTCCTATCCATAGATTATCATCTACGGTTTCTTCTACTTTTTGAGGGGGCGGGGGGCAGCTCTATGAAAACGTATGGCCATAATGAGCATTTTTTTTGGGGGGGGGTCCGGTTGTAGGGCCTGGGCACTGTCCCTCAGCTCTTCAGCTCAAGGCTAGCGCTCTACCACTTGAGCCACAGCGCCACTTCCGCCTTTTTTTTTTTTCTTTTTGCTTATGTGGTGCTAGGGAATCGGACCCAGGGCCTCCTGCATGCAAGGCATGCACTCTACCACTGAGCCACCTTCCCAGCCCCATAATGAGCACTTATAAAATGAGCAGCCAGGCCAGGCACTGGTGGCTCATGCCTGTAATCTTAGCTATTCAGGAGGCTGAGATCTGAGGATCATGGTTCAAAGTCAGCCTGGGCAGAAAAGTCCGTGGGACTCTTATCTCCAATAAACCACTAAAAAACTGGAAGTGGTGCTGTAGCTCAAGTGGTAGAGCACTTGCCTTGAGCTGAAGAGCTCAGAGACAGCACCCAGGCCGAGAGTTCAAGCCCCATGACCGACAAAAATAATAATAATAAAATGAGCAGCCAGAATTGGTGAATGTAGATGGAACTTGATGCATCCTGGGCAGCTTCTCAGAATCCAGAGCCACATGTCCAATCATGTCATCTACACCAGCCAATTTCACCAAGGAGGATATTTTTCAAGTTTCTTTAGCTGATTACAAGTGTTTCCACATACACTAGGAAACAATTTAGCTTTCAAACTACTTGTACCGTAGCTATTATGTAACATCTAACCTTCCATGGCAGTCATCTATTCTAGCCACCTCTACTCCTGATGTCTGAAGATGCTGAGGGCACACTGTGAATTATGGCTTAGGGACATCTTGTTCAAACAAAAGGGTAGAAGTCTTAAAATTTTTTTTTTTTTTGGTCCAGTTGTGGGGCCTGAACTCTGGGCCTGAGCGCTGTCTCTCAGCTCTTCAGCTCAAGGCTAGCACTCTACCACTTGAGCCACAGAGCCACTTCCAGCTTTTTTCTTTCTGCTTATGTGGTGCTGAGGAATCGAACCCAGGGCCTCAGGCATGCAAGGCAAGCGCTCTACCACTAAGCCAAATTCCCAGCCCCTCTTAAAATATTTTCATCCTTATCTATTATTACAGATTATTCAAAATATACCTTAAATTTTTAGCAAATGCTTCCAATCAAGTAAGCAGTACTTCAAAAGCAGTTTAGTAAACTAAATGATCAATTCTTTTGTTACATTTCAAAAAGGCACATACAGAAGTTCATACTTACCAATCATGCCTGTATCTCTTCTACTTGACACATTAAACATGTGTACTTGCTAAAGTTTTTGAAGAATCCTCCAGGCCACATATCCATCCCAGATGTGGAATTTTATTATCTGATTGAAGAAGCCTAGCTTATGGCCTTCAGATGCTAGGTAAGCATTAGGGTTCTTGATTTTCTGAATGCACAGTATATATAGTCTCTATACCCTAAAATTAATATAGTACTAATTTTCATATGACAAATGATATTAGCAAAACAATTAGAACATTAATATAGTTACACTATTTTTTAAGGCTGGATATTGAAACCCAGGACCTCATGTATGATAGGCAAGGGCTCTATCATAAAGCTAGACCCTAGTTCCTAATTACACTTTTAAAGAGTATCATATAGTATCCAGTTTTGAGGTACATACCTTTAATCCAAGCACTTGGAAGGAAGGCTGAGGCAGAAAGATTCAGAGTTCAAACCCAGCCTAGAAAGTATAGTCAACTTTATCGTAAAGAAATGAAAGGGGGCTGAGAAGTTGGCTCAGTGGTAGAGTGCTTGCCTCACATGCATGAGGCTCTGGGTTCGATTCCTCAGTACCCCATACACAGAAAAGCCCGGAAGTGGCACTGTGGCTAAAGTGGTAGAGTGCTAGTCTTGGGCAAAAGAAGCTCCGGGACAGTGCCCAGGCCCTGAGTTCAAGCCCCAGAACTGGCAAAAAAAAAAAAAAAAAGAAAGAAAGAAATGAAGGGAAAGCCAAATGCCAGTAGCTCATGCCTGTAATCCTAGCTGCTCAAGAGGCTGAGATCTGAGGATTGCAGTTCTAAGACAGCCCAGGCAGGAAACTCCATGAGACTCTTATTTCAATAAACTACTCAAAATGGTAGAGGGCTTTCATCTTGAAGTAGAAAAGCTGAGGGACAGGACCCAGGCACAGAGTTCAAGCCCCAGGACTGGCAGAAAGAGGAGGAAGGTAAGAAAGGTAGGAAGGAAGGAAAGAAGGAAGGAAGGAAAAAAGGAAGGAAGCAAAAAAGGAAGAAAGGAAGGAAGGAAGGAGAGAAAAAGAAATGGATACCCCAGGCACCAGTGGCTCATGCCTATAATCCTAGCTACTCAGGAGGCTGAGATCTGAGGATCACAGTTTGAAGCCAGCCTGGGCAGGAAAGTCACTGAGACTCCTTTTAACCACCAAAAGAAGCTGGACGCAAAGCTGTGATGTAGCTGATAGAGCTCTAGACTTGAGCATAAAGGCATTAGGGACAATGCCCAGGCTCTGAGTTCAAGGCTCAGGACTGGGGGGAAAAAGAGGTCTGGGAATGTGGCCTAGTGGTAGAGTGCTTGCCTAGCATGTATAAAGCCCTGGGCTCGATTCCTCAGTACTATATAAACAGAAAAAGAAGGAAGTTGTACTGTGGCTCAAGTGGTAGAGTGCTAGCTAGAGCACAGAGATGCGCAGGGACAGTGCCAGGACTGGCAAAAAAAAAAAAAAAGGAAGAAGAAGAAATGGAGTACAAGAGGGAAAAAGAATAGGAAGATAAATTTTAGAAATATTTAGGTAATATTAGTATAGAATCAGTGGTAATAGAATGGAAAGAGGATTCGGTTGTGTTAGGAATGCACTTTTATATATGATTGTGCATATACTGACCCATCAATTAACTAAGCTTTATATCTTTTGTTTTCTATATATTTTTATTGTAAAGATACTGTACAGAGGAGTTAGTTACATGAGCAAGATAATGATTAAGCTTTATATCTTATATATGCCTTTCTTGCCTTCTTAGTGTTCGAAAGCATCCACAAACCAAGAAAATACAAATTACCTCTTCTGTCTTTAAAGTTACAGCCTATGTAAGTATGGAGGGGAAATTTGCAACCAATGATTTTGTTTGTTGTTAATGGAGTCCTTACAGCTAGTGCTAGCAATTAGGGTGCTCTTGAGACCAGAAAAAAAGCTGATGATGTGTTAACATATATTGTTTAGAGGGGAGTTTGATCTTTTCCTCATGGCTTCTGTTGTTTTTATCTAGTAATATTCCCTCCTTATTTTAGAGCTACATCCATGGCTCCCAGGGAGCAGAACATAGCTCCCTGGTCTGTTAAACCGTCATTTATAGAGCAATAAAATGCCATAAATGTCTTTGTATCACAGACTATGAAGCCTGAATTTCAGTATCACATGGAAGATATTACAAATGAAATCGTTTCTAAGTATCTCCATTCATCCACTTAAATTGATTACTGTGTATCAACACTAGTGTGCTAACTTAGGGCACAATAGCTGGGAGAAAAATAGTCCCTGCCTCTTGCACAGAAAAGAAAGAATTTACATAATAAATATCATATTAGGCCAGGCACTGGTGGCTCTTGAGACTAGGAAAAAAGCTAGGAGGCTGAGATCTAAGGATTGCAGTTCGAAGGACAGCCTGGGCAGAAATATCCATGAGATTCTTACCTTGAATTAGTCACACACACTTACACACACATACATACACACAAGCCAGAAGTGGAGCTGTGTCTCAAGTGGTAGAACACTAGTCTTGAGCAAAATAAGCTCAGAGACAGGGCCCAGGCCCTTGAGTTTAAGCCCCAGGACTGGCAGAAAAACAATTAAAAAAAATTAATACTAGCATATTAAAGGCATTTTTAGCAAATGATGGGGTTTCCCTTTGGACTGTAAATTCCTGAAGGATAAGAATTATGCCTTTATGTGTAGAATAAACCTATTCTTCACAGTAGACTGCTGTCAATAAATATTTAAAATATTAGTTAACTACCCATTTTTAATCAGCGTTATTTTTGTGTTTTCCTGATGTTTTGACAGAAAACACATAATAGTAAAATGTTATAGCTTGCATGCAGTAATTTCCAGAATATACTAAAATACTAATATTAGTATACTAAATAATTTTTCAGGACTCGGCTGGTCTGTGCTACCCTTCCAGGAAGAATCATGAGCAGACATTTTCTTACTTTGTTGTGGACCCTGTCAAACGTCACGTTAATGTTCTGTACCACTGCTTTGGGGTTGGGGACATGTCTTGAATCCTTCAGATGACCTGTATCTACTGGCTTTTCATTTATTGTTTTTCTATTTCCATACTAATTTAGAGACAAATGTTTACCTTATAGAGAGCTGCTTAGAGAAGGGAAATGCAAGCACAAAGAGTCCCTGTCTAAGTTTGTCTGGATTCCCTGCCACAGTGGATACAGAGCCATTGTGAAGTGGTGACAGCGAGTTACCAGAAACTGACAATCTGGATTGTATTTGTTGTGTTAAGATTTAAGTGAGTTCTCAATTTCCCATATATTTTGTCTTTGAAGCTAATTCTGCATTGAAGTGATAATAGAAAACTGAAATATCTACCACCAATTATTAATATGAATTGTTAGCTTTTTGAACTTGATTTTCATTTAATTATGTTTTTTACATTGCATTAAGGTTTACATCTCTGGAGTTAGGAAAAGCATCATTCCACTTAGAACCCAATAGTGTTTGGTAACTGTAAACTCTTTCATCCCATATAATTAGAACAGCAGGTACCCCCATCTGACACAAGAACTATGTGAGCAGGGAAGTTGCCTGATGATATAAATTGGCAGAACTGCAAGGATCAGGTCGTCTTGGTATAGTGTCCTGTTACAGTCACAGAACTGTTTGGGTCTTTTTTGTTGTTGTTGTTGTTTAATGCAGTCCAGGCTAGTCTTAAACTCTTGAACTTCCTGCCTCAGCCTCCTGTATGCTGGAATTACAGGTATATCTCACTACACCTGGCTGACAGATTTTTTTTCCTGTGGGAAAGTGATCATATCCTGTAGGTGATGGAAAGCCTGCCAGCGGTATTGAGCTTTGAGGAGGGAGCAGTTTGATACACGTTCCTGAGGTACAGGGGTGAGGATGATAATCGTGGACTTGAGTCTGGGCCAGAGGGCTGGGATAAGCAGGCCTGCTCAGCCTCTGCCGCCTCACACGCACCTTGGCACATTGCTTATGAGTGAATAAACTACCACTAGTTGGTACAGGCTGAATATGCCTTGTTGAAATGCTTGCGACTAGAAGTCCTCTAGTTTTAGTTCTGTGGATTTCTGTTCTGTGTGATACTTGCAGAGACTTTACTGTTGAGCATCCCTAATTAAAAAGTCTGAAGAGAAAAATTTGAAATTTTCCAGTACTGACAGAACACTAAAAAGTAACAGATTTCGGGCTGGGAAGGTGGCTAGTGGTAGAGCGCTTGCCTTGCAAGCCTGAGGCCCTGGGTTCGATTCCTCAGCACCACATAAGCAAGAAGAAAAGAGCCAGAAGTGGTTCTGTGGCTCAAGTGGTAGAGCGCTAGCCTTGAGCTGAAGAGCTGAGGGACAGCGCCCAGGCCCAGAGTTCAGGCCCCACAACCAGACCCAAAAAAAAAAAAAAAGTAGCAGATTTCATAGAATTCCAGATAGCACATTTGTGGGTTAAGGATATTAAAGTTGTGATATCCAAGATTATTTTAACTGAAGGTTATTTCTTCACTTTTTTTTTGGGGGGGGGGTGAAACGTGGAGAGAGACAGGGTCAGGCTGGGCTCAAACTCAAGATCCTCCTGCCTCAGACTCCCTAGTGCCAGGATTATAGACGGTTGCCACCCTTTTTTCTTTTTAAATACTTTTCTGTTTTGATTGATACATAGTAATTGTGTGTGTACACATACCATGTACTATTTCAATACCTAATTTTAAATTACATAAAGACACAATAAGAATTTAAAAATACTTTGTTTTTTGCTTCCAGTCACATAGTCTTCTATAGGGCTAAAGGACCCTTTGATCATTCATTCATTCATTCATTCATTTAAAGACTAAGCCTTGCTAGGTGACCCAGGCTAGCTACAAACTGTCCTGTCTCCTGCTGAAACCACACCCAGCCCCCTGATTCCTTTTGAATGTTAAGTCTGTGCCAGACAGTCATCAGTTTACTCTGAGAAAACATATACTTCCTATAAATCTAGTTGGGATAATGATCATTGACCAGTGATCATTGACAGGCACAGCTGCAAGAGTTCAGAAGAGGGGTGATTTGTGAATGGAGCCAGAAAAGGTCACCTGATGAAGGTGAGCTTGCCTGGCTCACCTGGAAGCCAGGAAAGAGAGCAGCTGAAAGAAATCTGAGAAGGCCCAGCGCCTGGGGCCAGGTCTGGGACCGAAGCCCAGAGGTGGATGGAATTGATTCTGAGAGCCAACCTTGCTTTCCACCAACAACGGCAGGCAGGCACAGAAGTGGTGCACCTTTCAGGAAAGATTACTTCATTGTTTTGGGAAAAACATTTGAATGACCCATCTTGATTATGTAAATTATCTAAGTGAGGGAGCCTGTTGGGAAAACCTTAAAGAGTTTGGGCTGGGCTACCAGATTGCCTGAATTCTTAATTCTGCCCTCACCTGTGTGACCTTGAGCCAATTACTCACCTCTTGGTGCCTTAGTTTTCTTTGACAGAAAATGCAGAACTAGTCAGAATCCTTCATAGAACTTTTTGGTGTCCTGGGGGCTGGGAAGGTGGCTCAGAGGCAGAGCGCTTGCCTCGCAGGCTTGAGGCCCTGGGTTTGATTCCTCAGCACCACATAAGCAGAAAAAGCCGGAAGTGGCGCTGTGGCTCAAGTGGAAGAGTGTTAGCCTTGAGCTGAAGAGCTGAGGGACAGCGCCCAGGCCCAGAGTTCAGGCCCCACAACCACCAACAATCAAACGAACATTTTTGTGTCCAAATTAGTGCATACATTGGGTTTATGATGGTGCCAGCCACATAGCTAAGGACCTATGGATTTTGGCTGCATTAATTCTGTAGCGAGGAAGTATGAAACATGGGGAGGGGCGGCGGTGGGGGTTGGCTGCACAATAATATAAAAAGTAAATATGTGAGGTCTTCCTCGGGTTTGGTGGCTGTTCCTTGGTCAGATGGAGCGTAAGGGATAGGAAGTCAGTTACCCTCTCTCCTGGGCCCCAGGGGAGGTCAGCATCCCCAGCTCTGAGGCTGAGTATTTTTGCTGCATTTTTCTTTGTTGTGTTACTATCTTTGTTGATGGTAGTAATCTGTTGCTAAACTAGTTCTTATCTGTCTCCTATCTGTCTCTCCAGAGATCAGGACTTACGTGTGTTTTGCCCACTCTTACTAGGCACCTTGCATTTTCTGGCAGACAGGTCTTGGAGTGAGAGGGGAGGTGTAGAGCGGGAGGGGAGGGGGGCCGGCCCTGAGTCTGTTGTCCTGACTGGCTGCAGAGCGCGACACTCATAGTAAGTTCTCCTGGTCCCCCAGATCCTGTTAAGTTCAGTGAGTGCCTTGGCCTGCATGTGGGGGAAGGGAGGACCAGAGACATGTCTGGGGCACCACTGCCCTGGGGAGGGGCAGGACAGCCCAGAGAACAGTTTGGGGGAGCAGCTCTGTCAGCTGAGAGTGCACTGGTGCTGGAGCAGGACAGCTGGCAGTCAGACAGCAGACACAAGTGTCCTGTGAATGGCTTTTTCGAACTCAAGAACATTCCTCAGAAATTCCAGAGGCTACTGAAGGAGAAAGGTCTCACAGGATTGTAGTTTTGACGTTGGAGAGAGAGACTTGGGCGAAAGGCTGGAAAATCTGAGCCATTTGGATCCCATAAGCCAAAATAAGTCACGAGGCAGGGTGTAAGATATATGCAGCACCCTGTGGAGTAGTTGAAATAAGGAGTCTTGCTCAGGTGAGGCACAGAGGAAACAAATTAGTGGAGGTGTGCTTACTCTGAGGACTGGGGTGGAAGGCTACGAAATTTAGGTCTGTTGGGCACCACGGATTTAATTTGGTTCACCCCTCTCTCTCCAGTTAACTAGCAGAAAGCAGGGCTGGAGGTAAGACTCAGGTGGTGGAGCACCAGCTGAACAGGTAAGCTGAGAAAGAGCATAAGGCTTTTGAGTTCAAGCCCCAGTGTGTTCACACAAAAAAATAAATCTTGTAAGTGATGAATAGCAGTCACTACATATATGAACAAAGTCCGGAGAGCCCATACTCACTCCCCCAACTCAGCATCCTCTCCTGTCATTCTCCTCCTCTGATAGTTTCTCCAGCAGAGTTCCACCTTTTACACTTACGGCCTGTTGTTATTCAAGTTATAGCTCAGTGGTAGAGGGCTCGCCTAGCAGGCAAGCCCTAGATACAAGCCCCTGAGTTTCAGAACTGGGGTGGAGGGACCTGAAAGTACTGTCAGATGCCACGTTTGATTGGGGCACATCAAAGAGATGGACCCAGAGTCACAGCACATGTCCGTAGTCATTGCCTTCAACTGTCTGTGATCAGTAATCAGTCCCACTTTCTAAATCTTCTTTACTTTATAAGGAGTGGGTAGCTTTTTAGGTAGGGTTATGAAGATTTGGATTCCCCTCCAGAACTCTAGATGCTCCTTCATTTGTGAGTGCTAGCCTTGAGCAAAAGAAGCTCAGAGACAGTGCCTAGACCCTGAGTTCAAGTCCTAGGGCTGCCAAAGAAAAAAGAAAGAAAGAAATATGCTAAGTTGATGCCCTGGGTTTGATTCCTTAGCACCACATAAGCAGAAAAAGCCAGAAGTGGCGCTATGGCTCAAGTGGTAGAGTGACTAGCCTTGAGCTGAAGAGTTGAGGGACAGTGCCCAGGCCCAGAGTTCAGGCCCCGCAACTGACAAAAAGAAAAGACAGGGCTGGGAAGGTGGCTCAGTGGTAGAGCGCTTGCCTTGCATGGATGAGGCCCTGGGTTTGATTCCTCAGCACCACATAAACAAAAAGAAAAAAGCCGGAAGTGGCGCTGTGGCTCAAGTGGTAGAGTACTAGCCTTGAACTGAAGAGCTGAGGGATAGCGCCCAGGCCCAGAGTTCAGGCCCCACGACTGACAAAAGAAAGAAAAGAAAATATGCTAAGTGATAGGTAAGTGATAGGTGTACTGATAAATCTAATGTACTGAATAGCATAGTCTAGCAAAACAACACACTGTGGAATGCACGCTGTTCTGGGGACCAGGGGCTGAGGCTCCCTGCTGTGGCCTGAGCGTCCCTCAGACTGCATACTGCGGTCCCTGTTAGAAAGGACCAAAGTTTAAATTTTTGAGGTTTTTTTTTTTTTTTTGCCTAATTTATCTCCCTTTTGTACTCGGAAAGTCAGAAAAGCACACTGTGTAGCGGTGACTGTCTGCAGACTGGGCTCAGAGGGCAAGGCTTCTGGCCATGCTATCCCTTTCTTGCTCATAATTGTTTCTTGCAGTTGGCAGGGAGGTCCCATTTTTTTTTTTTTTTTTTGGTCGGTCGTGGCCTGAACTCGGCCTGGGCACTGTCCCTCAGCTCTTCAGCTCAGGCTAGTGCTCTACCACTTGAGCCACAGCACCACTTCTGGCTTTTTCTGCTTATGTGGTGCTAGGAATGGAACTGAGGGCCTCATGCATGCAAGTCAAGCACTCTACCACTGAGCCACCTTCCCAGCCCCAGAGGTCCCTTTTCAACAGGAGTCTATTTCCAGCTTAGTGACTAGTACCTACTGTAGAAAAATGCACAACAGTCGTCCAAACTATGATCAGGGACATTTTGTATTTGAGAATTCAGAGCATGAAGTGGAATGAAAGAATAAATGATCTCACTGATACACAAAGACACACAAAATACCTTCTACATTTACACGTGAAACAGAGCTCCTAAGTTCAATAGTCAGTCATCCTCCCAGGCCAACCAGAAGTTTTTTTCAGCAAAATTTTCCTTAACAGTTTCACTTCCAGACAGTGATTACAAGTAGCTGTGTCTGGGGGTCCCCTTAATCTACCGGAGGCTTCGATGAAAATACATTCAAGCTTAATTGTGTGTGTGGGGGGGGGAGGTCATGGATGGGGCTTGAACTCAGGGCCTGGGAACTGTCCCTGAGCTTTTTTGCTCAAGGCTAGCCCTCTACAACTTTGAGCTACAGTGCCACTTCTGGTTTTCTGGTGGTTAATTGGAGGTAAGAGTCTCATGGAGTTTTCTGCTGGGGCTGGCTTTGAACTTCGATCCTCAGATCTCAGCCTTCTGAGTAGCTAGGATGACAGAGGAGAGCCACTGGTGACTGGCTAAGCTTACATTTTTTTTTTTTTACTCCTCACTATGGCCTAGTGAAATAGTGTTATAATCATCAGCACTGGAGCTGTGAGATAGTGTTATAATCATCAGCACTGGAGCTGTGAGATAGTGTTATAATCATCAGCACTGGAGCTGGGTACATAATCACAGTCTGTCAGTGCTTTTATAAATGTTTTACCTTAATTTCACCTACTCAATGTACGTATCAGCAAACGAAGGGAAGACCCAGAAACAAGAGAATAAGCGAAAGTTCTGAGACTGTTGAAGCTGTGTGTGTATAGAACACGAGATAGGAGAAGAAAAGGAGCAGTCTCCAGTTTCAGCAGAAAGGAAGGCAGAGCGCCAGAAGTGGACAGAGAAACTCAGAGTGTGCAGGGATTGAGGGTAAGGGATTACAAGCCATCTCCAGCGTGATCACAGCCACACGGAACATGGAGCTCCTGGAGATCTAGCCACTGGGCACCTTTCTCCCTTTCTCCCGTGCTCAGCAAAAGTGTGGCATCCAGTAAGTGATCGCTAAAGAGCACAGCTCTGATCGCATCTGCAGAGGCACAGGGGAGAAATGGCTTCTTCAGGGAACAAACAAATGATTCCGTTTGTCTGGAAAATAGCCTGGTCTGCTAGGGTGCCTGTCATTCCAACACTCCAGAGGCTAAAGCCGAGCCTGGGTTACATAGCTAGACCCTGTTAAAAAGAGCAAGGAAGGAAGGAAGGAAGGGAAGAAGGAAGGAGGGAGAGAGAAAAGAAGGCACATGTAGGTGAGTAGCAAGAGATAGGTTGAAAAGAGAAAGAAGCAAAGACCAAAATGGTTCATGGTTTGTGTTAGGGATTGGCTCTGAACAGTAGACTTACCTTGAATAGTAGACTCAGATCATTCTGATGTCTATTCAGAATAGAAGTCTGAGAGATACGGGTAAAACTAGAAGTGCACCTGGCACTGGTGGCTCACGCCTGTCATCCTAGCTACTCAGGAGGCTGAGATCTGAGGATCATGGTTCAAAGCCAGCCTGGGCAGGAAAGTCTGTGAGACTCTTAACTCCAATAAACCACTAGAAAACTGGACGTGGTGCTGTGGCTCAAGCAGTAGAGCACTCACCTTGAGCTGAAGAGCGCAGGAACAGTGCCCAGGCCCAGGGTTCAAGCCCCACCACTGACAAAAAACAACAAAACGACAACTAGAAGTGGGAACATGCTCTTCCAGGGTGTGTGGAATGTGGTGGGAAGTGGAGCTGAAACCAGCATGGGGTTGGGTGGCAGCGTACCAGAGATCTGAGAGAAAATGCACACACTGGAATTGGTTGGCTGGATGTGATGGCAAAAGGTGGTTAAGAGAGCTCATGTGTTCTGGCTGAACAAGTGCAAGACTGTGCTGCCACAACAGCGATGAGTCAGAAGGGTGTGCGTCCGGCTGGTGCTTGTGGGAGGGAGGCACAATTCAACGTCAGACGCGTTGAAGAGGTGGATGAAGAAAAGTGGAAGGATTGGGAAGGTGGCTTAGCGGTAGCGTGCTCGCCTAGCATGCTTGAAGCCCTGGGTTCGATTCCTCAGTCCCACATACACAGAAAAAGCTGTGTGGCGCTGTGGCTCAAGTGGTAGAGTGCTCGCCTCGAGCTGAAGAGCTGAGGGACAGCGCCCAGGCCCGGAGTTCAGGCCCCACGACTGGCAAGAAACAAAAAGCTGAAGGAAGAACCGGAGCCCACCCAGGTGGCTTCCTGACGCACACCTGTGGAGGGAGGGCTCCCCGGCGTGTGCATGGAGACGTGGCTCTGGGCGCGGAGGAAGACTCCGGGCTTCTAGAAGTGCACGCGGCCTTGGCCTTGGGAGCAGTGGCGAGGAGGCCATTTCTGGCCGCTGAGGCCCCGGCCCTCCTGCAGGTGCGCAGGTCTCCACGCGGCTGGGAAGGGGCGGCCCCGTGGCCGGCGCGCCAGGCTGCCCAGAGGAGGCCGCCTGCTCCGCGTGCTCCGCGTGTAGACTCGGCAAACGAACACTTTCCGCACTGATGACCACAATGCAACACGAGCGATACTCACCAGACGACGACAGAAGCGACTTCACCCACTACGTCATCGGACGCCAGACGCGCCGCGGCGCCGCGGGGCAGCGTCTGAGGAGCTGCGCCCGAGGCCTCCTCACGCGGCCGGGCACCACGCCGGGCCTGTCTGAGGCCCTTCACGCGGCCGGGCACCACGCCGGGCCTGTCTGAGGCCCTTCACGCGGCCGGGCACCACGCCGGGCCTGTCTGAGGCCCTTCACGCGGCCGGGCACCACGCCGGGCCTGTCTGAGGCTCTTCACGCGGCCGGGCACCACGCGGCCTCCGGGCACCACGCCGGGCCTGTCTGAGGCCCTTCACGCGGCCGGGCACCACGCCGGGCCTGTCTGAGGCCCTTCACACGTGCGGGCCGGGCCACAGCCCAACAGGCCTAACTGATGAATCCGCTGTGGAGGATTGAGCGTGGGTTGCGGCTGCTGCAGTGACAGCGTGGGGAAGGCTTCCTCGGACAGCTGCGGAGGCTAAGCAGTCAGGGCTCGGCCAGGGCCTGTGTCCTCGCTGCTCCCGGGATGGCGCCTGGCCGATGAGGGCCGAGCCCCCCATGGAGGGAAGGACGGACGGGTGGGGCGGAGGAGGAACACCGGCCGAGGGAAGGCAGCCACAGTGCGGGGGACTCCTGAGAACTCTGGGCCTGGGAGGGAAGGAGACCCCGGTGGGCGTCGGAAGGCCTCGCGGCCCATTTGTCAAGCACCTTTGTCCCGACTTAATGGCGGGGGGAACAACAGCCAGCCAAGCAGCCCCCGGCCTAATTGCAGTGCTGGCCGCGGGCGCAGCTCCCATGGCAACCCGGGGGGGCGGGAGGGTGGGGACTGGTCCGAGGGGACGCACGCAGGGGGCTGCGAGGCCGGGGCCTCCGTGATGGCCGGCCGTGGCTCCCGGCCCCGACCCCGGCGCAGAGCGGAGGAACCGAGCCAGGCAGGGCGGAGGGCCCGGGAGGGGTCCGGGGGCGCCGGGCGCCGGTCTTTGGCCTAATCCTACTGAGTCGGAAGGCAGATGGCTCCAGGAAGGTCGAGTGGTTTCAAAGCCAGCAGAGGCCAGGGAAGGAGGGCCGCGAGTTCGAGGCCAGCCCGAGCTGGGCGGGCTTCTGGGAAGCAAGCCCACAAAAGCTGGCGAGGGACGGGTGTGCGGCGCAGCCTCGGATCACACCCGGGGACGCCGCCGCGCAGCCAGCGCGCAGGGGCCGGGCCGGGCGAGGACCGGGCCAGCCCCGCGGCGGAGGGACGGCGCGTCCCGCGTGCGCTCGCGGCGAGCAGGCCGCGCGCGGCCCCCGCCGGGGACCGGAGCCACAAAGGCGCACCGACGGGAGCGAGCGGACCGGTTCCCGGGCGCCCTCTTCGCCGCCCGCGGCCCGCCCGCCCCGGCCTCCTCCCCCTCCGCGGCCCTCCGCCGGGTCCAGGGCCGGCGAGCCGGGACCCGCCCGGGGAGGGGCGCCCGGCCACCGCGGTCCCCCGGGTCCCCGCGGCCCCCCGGCCCGGGGGCGGGGCGCGCGGGGCGGGGCGAGGCGGTCACGTGCCGCCCGGGTCCGCAGGAATGCGGTAACTCCGGGAAAGTTTCCCCGGGCGCCGCCGCGGATCCGGGGCGGGCGGGCGCGCGCAGGGAGGAAGCGCGGCGAGGGGCGGAGCCGGCCGCGCGGGCGGGCGCGTCTCAACTTTAGTTTTGGCGTCCGGAGCGAGTTTCTGTCTCAGTCGGGCGCAGCCGCCGCCGGGGCGAAGAAAGGGAGGAAGGAAGGAGCGGGAGGGGAGGCCGCGCGGAGGGGGCAGGCGCCGGGCCTCCGTCGGGGAGGGCGCCGGGCCGCTCCGACTTTCGAGGCGCAGCCGCGGGGCAGCGGCTCGGGGATGCGCGGTCGCGGCGCGGCGCCCCGGGCCTGACCGAGAGCCAGGCCGGAGCCCGGAGGCCGCCCAGCGCCCGCCGCCCGGAGCCCTCGCTCGCGCCCCTCCCCCGGCCCCGCGCCGACCTCGGCGTCCGGGCGGAGCCCTCGCGCCCGGCCAGGGCTGCGCGTCCGGGAGCCCGAGCCATGGACCCCGGGCAGCAGCCGCCGCCCGCGCCGGCCCCGCAGGGCCCCGGGCAGCCGCCCGCGCAGAGCCCCCCGGGCCCCGGCCAGGGCCCGCCGTCCGCGCCCGGGCCGCCCGCGCCCCTCGCGGCGCCGCAGGCCCCGCCCGCGGGCCACCAGGTGGTGCACGTCCGCGGGGACTCGGAGACCGACCTGGAGGCGCTGTTCAACGCCGTCATCAACCCCAAGACGGCCAACGTGCCCCCGACGGTGCCCATGCGGCTCCGCAAGCTGCCCGACTCCTTCTTCAAGCCGCCCGAGCCCAAGGCGCACTCCCGGCAGGTAACGCGGGCCCCCCAGCCCGGGGCTGAGATTGGAGCTCCCGGGCCCGTCGGTGCGGCGGCCGCCCGGCCCCCGCCTCCTTTCTTTCTTCCCGGGGCTTCGGGAAGGTTGGCGGGAGCAGGAAGGAAGGGGGTGGGGAGGCCGGGCCGGCGGCGGGGGCTCGCCGGGCGCGCGCCCCGCACCTCGGCCCCGCGGGAGGGAGGGCCGGTGGGGGAGGGGACGCGGGCGCGCGGCGGGCGGCGGGCGGGGGCGCTGCCGCGCCGGCCGAGTCGCCGAAGTGGAGCCCGGGGCCTCCTCCGGGGCCCCTCGGCCCGGCCGGGCCTCCTCGGGAGTCGGATAATTGTTCTCTTGTTCCCGGCCGGGCCGGGCCGCGCCGCCTCCCCTCCCCCCGAGGGCGCCGGTGCCCCGGGCGCGGGGCTCGGGCTTCCCCCCCCGGACTTTTCCTGGAAGTCGGCGGAGGATCTCCGCCTGGCTCGGGGCCCGGGTGGCGCTGGGGGCTCCCGCGCCGCGGCGCCCGCGGAGGCCCGCCGTGGACGGCGCGCGGCCCGACGGCGCCCCGCGCTGACTCAGCCGGGACTCGGAGCGAGCGTGGGGGAAGCGGTGACTAAGGCCGCCCGCCGCGACTCCCGCGCGCGTCCCGGGGCGGACGTGGCTGCGCGGCCGGCGCGCCCCGTCCCGCGCCCTCCCTCCCCGTCGTCTCGCTCCTCCCCGCAGCCCTGGCCCGAGGTTCGTTGGTTTCCCGAGTGCTGCGCGGGGTCGGCCCGCTCGGGCCCGGCCCTCCCCGCCCCCGGGTCGCCCGCCCTCGCACCGGTGGCGCCGCTTGGGTCCGCGGGCGGGGGAGGGGCGGCCGCACGCTCGGGCGGGGGGGGGGAGGGCCGGGCCCGAGCGGACCGCGTCGGGCGGGGGGGGGGGGCCGGGCCCGAGCGGACCGCGCCGGGCGGGGGGGGGGGGATCCGCGGACCGCGCCGCCGACTCCCATTTTGTGGCATCCGAGCCGCGGGGAATGGCGGCCAGGAGCGGCCCGCGTGAGCCGGTCCGGAAGGGTCCCGGTTGCTGGTCGGTCGGAGGGCTGCCCGCTCGGGAGCGGGCTCGTGCCCGCGGGGCCGGTCGGGACAAGCCCCGGGCCCGGCCGCGCCCCGCCCCTCGGGCCCCGCGGGGGCGGGGACCGGGCTCGGGGTGGCCCGGCCGCTCGGCCGCCGCCGTGACCGTCCCCGTCCTCTGCGTGCCCCACAGGCCAGCACGGACGCGGGCTCGGCGGGGGCGCTGACCCCGCAGCACCTGCGCTCCCACTCCTCGCCCGCCTCGCTGCAGCTGGGCGCCGTGTCCCCGGGGGCCCTGGCGCAGGCCGGGGCCGCCCCCGGCGCCGCCGCGCCCGCCGCGCAGCACCTCCGCCAGCCGTCCTTCGAGATTCCCGACGACATGCCGCTGCCGGCCGGCTGGGAGATGGCCAAGACGCCCTCGGGCCAGAGATACTTCCTCAAGTGAGTGGGGGGCGGGGGCGCGGCGAGGGGGGGTGGGGGGGCGGGGCCGAGGGGCTGGCGGGGGGGGGGGGGAGTGGGGGGCAGGACCGAGGGGCTGGCGGGGGGGGGGGATGGGGGGGCAGGACCGAGGGGCTGGCGGAGGGGGGCAGGACCGAGGGGCTGGCGGGGGGGGGGATGGGGGGGCAGGACCGAGGGGCTGGCGGGGGGGGGATGGGGGGGCAGGACCGAGGGGCTGGCGGGGGGGGGATGGGGGGGCAGGACCGAGGGGCTGGCGGGGGGGGGGGATGGGGGGGCAGGACCGAGGGGCTGGCGGGGGGGGGATGGGGGGGCAGGACCGAGGGGCTGGCGGGGGGGGGCAGGACCGAGGGGCTGGCGGGGGGGGGGGGGGGACAGGACCGAGGGGCTGGCGGGGGGGGGGGGCAGGGCCGAGGGGCTGGGGGGGCAGCTGTGTACAGTACGCATAGCTGTATAGATCCGTACTGCACTTATCGATGTATAGTATATATATATATATGTCTATATGGTACATAGGTACATATAGCTGTATAGATCCTTACTGCACTCATCGGTGTATAGTATATATATATCTATATGGTACATAGGTACACATAGCTGTATAGATCCTTACTGCACGTATCGGTGTATAGTATATATATGTCTATATGGTACATAGGTATGCATAGCTGTATAGATCGGTACTGCACGTATCGATATATAGTATATGTATATACCTATATGGTACATATGTACACATAGCTGTACGAATGGCATGTGTCTGTGTTACGTGTGTGTGTATTTGGGGGGAAAAGCTGAGCACTTTCTTGAGCAGGGGTTCTGTTTTGAAGACTTTGCTGGGTGTGCGCAGTGGCAGTGTCAAACCTGTTGGCTGGCCTGGGACAAGACAATACCGTAGGGTGTTTGTTTCTTTGTGTGGGACTCCTGGGGATTGAACCCAGGGTCTTGCTTCTCTCCCAAATATGAATAGTAATACTAATTTTGAGGCTTGATGTTTAGTTAATTATTGTCTGTCTTATTTCAGTCTAGTGAGTCTTCAAAACAGAATGGCTTCTCTAGGCCATTTAATATTTTTTTTAATAGCACTTTTGTCTTTAATAAAATGGTAGTTACACTGCAATAATATGGAAGTAGCACAGAATTATCTACAATTCTGTAAGTAGAATTCTGTAAATAGAACTCTACAGATAGAATTTGATGTTCTAATTTTGAAATTATATAAAGATTTCCATTTCACCTGGGTCTTTTGAGTCAAATGGATATAAAATTGTGTATAAGACTTATTACAGATTGGGGCTGGGAAGGTGGCTCAGTGGTAGAGTGCTTGCCTTGCATGCAGGAGGCCTTGGGTTCGATTCCTCAGCACCACATAAGCAAAAAAGAAAAAAGCTGGAAGTGGTGCTGTGGCTCAAGTGGTAGAGTGCTAGCCTTGAGCTGAAGAGCTGAGGGACAGCGCCCAGCCCCAGAGTTCAGGCCCCATGACCGGACCCCCCCCAAAAAAGACTTGTTACAGATTGAAATTGTTCTTAATTTCTCATTTTTACCTATTTCTTCAAGATGAGATAACTGAGAAAGTCCTGGTTTTGATTTAGATCTGCCTTGACAGTCTACTATGGAAAGTAACATTTATTAGATTATCAGATAATACAATTAGCAATATTGTTTTGTTGTATATCTTTAAAATTTTATGTTATGTGAGTCTCAATCTGTGTTTTGTGTTGCCTGCCTTTCAGGCTGAGTTACTCAGTAATGAAAATAGTTCTATGACCTGCTTGTTCTAGAAAAGAGCAGAGAGAGAAAAGTTTGATCTTATTTTCTATAGTAGGTGGTTTTTTTTTTTTTTTTTTTTTTTTGCCTCTTTTCTGCAACTTTTTCTTTTTAAAATTTTTTTTCTGGTGTCCATTTCAAAGGGTCAGGTTTCAACCAGAACAATAAAGGGCCAGAGACTGGAAAGTACACACAAGTCTGGCAAACTCATCTGCATGTGCAAGATATTTGTTCTGCAGACATCAGTGATTGAAAGAGCAGCAAGCTCCCTTCTAGAGGGAGGGGCGTCCTCCTGGGGAGAAGAGTGGAAACTCACCGGGTTGGTGTGGAGAGGAGAAGCTGCAACTCCTTTAAGCCTCTCCCTGCTGGGTCACATGCTTCGTGGGGAGATTTTTCAACAGCTTTGTAGCCTGCACTCCTTTCCTGTGGCTGAGAGCAACACAGGCTAAAGGGACACATTTATGCACTTAAAGTCTTTTTTGTATCTTGTTAACTGCTTGTAGGTGACTTCTGCTTACATTTTCATTATTTTGAATCAGCAGTGTTTCATTGTCAGCTGGAACTGTAGATACTTGTTTCTAAGTTTCCATTGGTTCTTTGAGAAGAAATGTTTCCTTTGTAAGGTGCAGACACACAGGTTTAATGAATGGTGTGTAGTTCTCCCACCCCCTTCATCCACACCCACTGGGGGGGGGGTAAAAGAAGGTGAACCAAACCCAAACAAGGGGGAGGGCTAGTTACAGAAGAAGTAGGAAAGCTTTACCTGGAGAGAAATCTGTCCAGAGGACAGGTGAAGGCAGTAGTTTTTTCAGTGTTTCTGAGGAATGCTCCCGTGGAAGTAAGGGAAAGTAGAGTTTTCATTCTGGTGATCTTTTTCATATCAGCTTTGTAGAAGTAGAAGGCTTTTCCCTGAGGGGAAAATGTAGGTCAATGAAAGCAGGCAAGGTGAAGTGGTTAGTAAGCCCAGTGGCTAAGCATTGGATGTGGAAGGAAGATAGCTGCTGTGGACTTGCACAGTTTATATTTCTCTACTGAGTGAGCCTCATTCCATCCATAACAATAAGCTGCCTCAGGAATGTGAGCCAGCTCTGCACCCTCACAAGAGCTGCCCCCATGCTGTGAGGGGCTGAAGAGTCATCCTAAAAACAGATCAGTAACACGAATGACCATCTGTCCTTTGAGTCAAAAGATGGTAAACTCAAGCTTTTAGTACCACGTTGCTATTGTTAAAGTTTTTTGTTTTGTTTTTTTTTGTTTTTGTTTTTGCTAGTCTGGGCTTGAACTCAGGGCCTGGGCACTGTCCCTGGACTTCTTTTGCTCAAGGATAGCACTCTACCACTTGAGCTACAACACCAATTCTGTCCTTTTTCTGTTTATGTGGTACTGAGGAATTGAACCCCGGGCTTCATGCATGCTAGCGAAGCACGCTACCACTAAGCCACATTCCCAACCCCTAAAGTTCATTTTTAAATTGATTACGTTCATGGTACAAGGGAGCTCAATGTGATAATCCTATCATCAAAAGTTCTTTGAATTCTAGTACTGAGCTTGAACTCATGGCTTGGGCGCCTACTCCCTTAGCTTTTTCACGAGAGGCTGGTAGCCTACCACTTGACACACACACAGATGCATTTCTAGTTTTTGGTTGTTAATTGGGGCAAAGAGCCTCACAGATTTTTCCTGACCTGCCCAGGCTGGCCACTTCTAAACCACAATCCTCAGATCTCAGCCTCCTGAGTAACGGGGTGCAGGTATGATTCACTTTTTTTTTTAACATTTAGTTCTCTTGGCAGTCAGTACTTATGTTTCTCTTGTTTGATGATTCTTTTTGCCAGCCAGAGGTTGGATGATTTAAAAACTAGTTACAAATTTGATACTCATTTCAACAGGGAAAAATAGATGTTATGAACAGATACTTGTTGAAACTAAATTTTGAGTCACAAAGCATCTTATTTATTGAGATTTCTACATGGCATGAAGAACTGTTATAAGTGGTCCAAACATACAAGGAGATGTAATTTGAGAGAACACTAAAGTTGACTTTGGAAACAACTGTTGTTTCCCTGTGACCATCCATGAATGAGTTTCTGCACTTGGTTGGCACTCTCCCGTTCCAAGGCAGTGTAATTACACAAAGGGCTGTAGCTGTCCATTTGTGTTTTTAACTCAGGTCCTACGAGAGTGAGAGCTTTTGCAGAAAGAAGACTCTTGGCCCTCACCTTGGCGGATGGTGTGGAGGGAGATGGGAGATGGGAGCAGCGCTTCAAGCTCTGTGTATGCCACACCCGATGTCTTTCCTGAAGAACAAAGTCTGAACCTCTTCCCCTCTAGCATAGCACCTTCAGTTCTTATTTAAGAATTCGTTCTCTTTATGACTCAATTACTGCCTTCTTCAGCTGTCTTACAGTTTTCCTACAGGAAATAGTTCTTCAAGTAGTTGGTCCACAACTTCCTATTTCTTTATAAGCTGCTGAATAACTTCCTGAATTAGTATTCTATAACATCTTTGGTTGCAAGGCGTGCTTTTACTTCTCTAATTTATTTTATTGAATCTGATACCTTGGAGCTATCTATCTATTACCATGCCTAAGGAGCTGCCTGTGTATAACGTACGGCTATCCTGCCTCCATGTAACAAATGCGATCTACGGATTTAACAAGTTTGTGGGTTTGCCTTGCTTTAGTAATGTCCTCATGGAGTCTAAAAGACAATTGTTTCATTTTAATTTATTTTCTAAATGACTAGCCTTTGTGTTATTCTTGAAGACTCAGGGTTTCCTATGGCTCTGATTTTGTTTAGAATAATTCATAGTTTAAAGTATTTTTTTCCAGTATTTTTTTGACATTGCATAGTATTTAGCCAAATGCCAACATTAAATGCAGTTACCTTGCAGATATAATTGTCGGCTGTAAATACAGTAGTTTGACTCTATTTCTGCTACATGTCATTTTAGAAATGAGTGTTCTACTGCTCTAATCACAGTCAAGTCAGAAGTGCATCTGCGGAAATAAACTGTTCCTTGTTACAGTGTCATCGTATGTTTCCCTTTTGCCCAGTGAAAGACTATAAAGGCATACAATAAAGATTAGATATTTTAAGTAAGAAGAGTTTCATAAAGAATAAGGTCATTCGGGTTTTTTTTCCCTTATACCTTACACAACCCAAGCATATTTCCCCTTAAAAATGAAAGGCTTGTAACTTAGCCATTGAAAGTTGGT